GGAAAGGTTCATATTGCCTTGCTGCCGCATGCTGCTGCCGCAACGCTGCAATGGCCGGGTGTGATGTTGCATTGTAAAATCTGTCGATGCGCTGCCTCAAAATGGGTATGCAGAGAACATTCCCGGACCTTATTCCCGCGCCAAACGCTTGGAGGCATTGGCGTGCGAAACATCACAGTGCTTATTCCTATCTGCCTTTCGCTCGCCAGAAGTTCCATGATTTCCACAAGCGCGAGCGTCGCCACCATGGATGGACCGCGACAGCATCACAGGCGCGCAGTGCAAAGCAAGCACAGCGATGCAATAGGAATAGCGATAGCAAGCAACCCACACCGACCTCGTTCGCGGCACGCCTTGCGCTGTAAAACGGGTGCTTCAATTACCGTGGCGACAACCATTTGGGCTGGCTTGGGGTCTCTGTGTTTTATTCACGGGCGCGATGTATCGTGGAAGGAATGTGCGCCTGCTCTATGCGCGGAAGGCTCAACGCTCGGGCGTTGACCGCACCCGCGTACCCTCCCCACTCCCGCCTCTCATTTGTGTCACACCACGCGGAACGCATCTCCATCGCTTCGGTGAAGGGGGTGAACCGCGCCATCCTCGATCGCCGTGCAAAGCTCGCTTCCGAGCTCTTCACGCCGCGCGTAGGGCCCTTAGTGGCCTAGAGAACCCCACAACCCCCTCTCCCTTTTCTCCCAGTAAGCTAAAAGTACGTGCGACCGTACAACAAAACTCTCTCTCACGACACTAGGGAGAAGAGGGAAACGGGGGTGTGTTCTCTAGGCCCCTAAAGGCCCTACGCGCGCGGCGTCTCTCTCTACTTTTTAGATTTTACGCGAATTACCAAACAAATGGACGCGGGGTGAGCCCCCTGCGACAACGCACCAAGCAGGATCAGGCAGGCTCTTGTGCCCGTAGCCCGATCCCGACCATCCGGCCCGTTGGGTGCGCTCTACCGACTGCACAGTGCACCTCCAAAGTGCTCCGAGTGCGCTTCAACCGCTTCTTAGCTCGCTCCCCCCCCCGGCCCTCTGGATCTGCTTTGGATGGATATGGATAATGCTCAATGGGGGAGAGGTAGCAAACACCCCACTCCACAGCAAGTGCTCCCCGGGGGGGGGGCTGACGGGAAGAAGGGTTAAACACGGAGCAAGGTCCCCGCGAGGATGAGAGAATTTCCCGTTTGAGTAGCGAACGCATATTGTGGCTCGAATTATAAAGAAACGACGTTTTCCACCGCAGCAAGTGTGCTTCTCAGAGTTCGACTGTTTTATTTCACTCGTCCTTTGTTTTCTTATACACTAGTCGCCGCGTCGCTG